TTTAAAGACAATAGCAACCACTGGAAACGTGTATAGATTTACTAACAAGTCAGACTTGCTTCTTGAACAGTTTCAGTAGACTGTTCAATCCATGAAATTCAAAAGACAAAGTGACCTTGAGCATGGCACTTTGTAAGATCATCTCTCAATATCTTACAGATAGAGTGAAGTAAATAGAATTTAAGTTCTAGAATACATTGTTGGGTCAATAACTGGTTGAACAACTGTACCCAATAAGTGACTGATGTCTAGCTGAAGATAAATTTCTGGTGGTGTTTGACATGGCTTGGTTCTCTACCTTGCAATCATTCCTTTTTTTTTTTAAAGTAGTGTCTCTCAAACTTATTGTGCATGCATATCACTTGGGGAGCTTGTCAAAAATGAAGATTTTGGTTCAGAAGGTTTGGAGTGGGGTCTGGTGGCTCTAGCAAGCCCCCAGGTAATGGTAATGCTGCTGATCTGTGGGCCGTCATGTTAACTAATGTTTGAGAAGACTTGTTTTAAAGAACATTCTAAGGAATATTGATCTGCAAAGGGATGAGAGCGGGAGTAGTGAATATAATCCAGAGAAAGGAAAGCCAGTGAGAATACAGTTTTAGTGGGCCATATTTGTGGTGATAAGAGCCTGTGGCAGAGGGCATGCTGAGAAGTAGATGGAGAAGGCAGAAGGAAAAATAAAGAAATTATATTTAATTTGTAAGGACGCCATAAGTCATCTAGCTCATCCTCCACCTTTCGGAGGAATAGCTTTTACAAACTCCTTTCTATAAGGTTATGTAGTCTCACCTTGAAAACTTCCCATGCCAGAAACTCATCAGGGAACCCATTCTGCCTTGGGCAACTCCGATGACTTGATTTTTTGTGTGTGCCCAAATAACTGGGATAAAAGTAGCTTATCAACAACAAAAAAGGAGAGCTCAGAGGTGGAAGTGGTTTTGGTGGAAAGATGACTTTGAGTTTTTAAATCATACTGAGGTTGAGAAAACAATTTTATGTTCCACATGGAAATACAGAGCACCCAGTTAAAAAAGTAACACTGATGCTAGAGAGGTTATAGATAGCTGTATGGACTTGGAAGTTAGCCATGAAAGCTTTTTGAGTGACAGATTCACTAAAGGAGAAAATGGTGAGAGAAAAGCAGAACGTGGGGAAACAAGCCTTAGGACAGGTCCCTATTCAGGACATGGTGCTTGAAAGACAGGTAGGCAAAGGAGTCCAATGGAAAAACATCAAAGATTCTGTTCCCCTCCTGGACCACCTTCCCTCTCCCAACCTGGCTAACTTTGACCTGTCCTTCACTACTCATCTCAGCTATCCTGTGCTTCAGGAAGTCTCCCCTTACACAGCACCCCTGAAACCTCATCAACCTACATTAGGTGCTCAACCCTAATATCTACCATACTCCTAATTGCCTGTTTATCAGTTTCCTCTGCTAGAATATACATTGCTTGAGGGCAGGGAATGCATCTTGTTCACCACTGCATTCCCAGGGGCTACTGTGGCTAACACATAATGTGGGCACTTCCATATCTGTAAATTAATAATCACAAAAATAATAAAAGCAGCAAACACTTACAGAACTTACTTTGTGCCTTTCATGAACTTACTATGTATCAGGATCTGGGCTAAGTGCTTTACAGAGAGAAGCTCCCAATAAGTATTACCATCCCCATTTTACAGGTGAGGAAATTAAGGCTCAGAGAGGTTAAACACCTAAAGTCACACAGCACTTGGTAGAGTACTGATTAGACCTTTACTAAGCCTGTGCTCTAGAAATCAGTGACAACAGAGAAGCTGAGGGAGAGCGTCAAGACTGTGTGTGCAAAGATATAGTGATGACATAGAAGGCATCACTTGATTTGAAAATGCTTCTGACAACATGCCAAGTGGTAAAGAAAGAATTCACTTACCTTGACTTAATTTTTTTTGCCTTTTTCCCAATTTTTGTCACTGGTTTTCTAAACCTCCTTCATGTCTGGTGTTACAACTGCATTTTAGCAACAACACCTCTCAGAAACCTGATTAAAGGGTGGGGGAACATATTTATCCAGTTCAGCACTGTAACTAATGGTTGAATAGGCTCCTGGCCTGAGGCAGATTATAATCGGAAGAGATTCAGAAACAAGAAACAGTCTTGGGTGTCTCTATAAAGTATGAATCAGACTGGAGAACTGTCTTATTGCTGCAACACCACTGGAATATGGTCTCACTTCAAGAGAGATCACTGTCGGACCAATCTGTACAGCATGTCGTCTTTGGGGTGAGTCAAGTTGGAATGTGCTAGGCTATTGTGGCAGGAGGCTGGGCAGAGAAGTTCGTTCCCCATTTCCTGAAAACTTGAACAGTTTTATTTAACCACTCCCCTTCCCTCCTCCCATCCACCATCTCCACCCCAAATCTACTGTGGGCCCTTAAACATTCTTAGAAAACAAGACAATTAGAAGCTCTTTGTTTTGCCTGATTCAGAAAGTCCCCTGGATCTCTCACCTTACTGGGAAGGTGGTGGTTGGACTCCTTGCCTGTCCAGCTTGGGTTGAGATAAGGATGGTGGAGGAAGGGGGAGGTCAGCGCTAGGATCTGCCACCTCTCTGCTTGAGCAGGACACACTGACATCTGTGCCCCAGGTTCTCCACCTTTAAGTTGGGAAGGATGAAGGCGAGGGAAAGCGGGATGCCCATCTGTCCCACCTGACAACTCGGCTCCCATGTCTCCAGGCCAGGCCCAAGCCTATCCTGCTCCCAGGCTGGAGCCCCTCATTGTGGTAATCGAGGACTCCAGTGAAAAGTGGTGGTGGAGGGTGATGGTGGCCAGATGGCCGCTCTGTCCAAGGCCCACCCCTGAGGAGATCAAATAGGCATCTGGGTGAGGAGGGAGTGATGCCTGGAGCGCACCAGTTGGCCTGCAAGCTTGGTACCTGGTCCTGGAGTTAGCAAACCCTCAACCGTCTCAGCTCCGCCTCCTTAGCTTATAGCTGCACTGCTGCCAGGCCTGTTGCTGGGAGTGCCTTGCAGTCATTCTTACAAGATGTCTATATAAAAGTCATGATAATCCAAAATTTTCATACAAGGTGATGCATATCTAATGAACCCGTAGCCAGAATAAGAATATAGAATCATCTTAACAGGTTTCAATAAGCAGAAATGTAGAAGACTGTTTTGAGGATTAAAAACTGAAAAACATGAGTAAAATTGAGAGTGATACGATTGAGGGTTTAAATTTATTAGGTTTTATTATTAGACATCGTTAACTTTAGACATAAAATATATAACTGTGTGAATCAAATTAATGGATTTCCTTCCTTTTTCCTTATCAGTAATTTTGTGTAATATTAAAACTTATACCACTATTTATATATAAACATTCAGAGTGATATGATACACCTACCCATAAATTGTACCCATATAGCATTTTAATCAAATTTTATTAGGTGCATGAATACAGTTAAACAATCTCAATAGAGAGTCTTCTATTATGATGCTTTTGCCTAACTCTGGCCTAATAATTCTCTCTCCTAAGTAATATTCTCCCTTTTTTTGGAAAGTTTTTGAAAAGATTTTTTATCTTAAGTCATTTCTTTAATTTTTAGTTCCTTATACCTTTTTAGAAAGAGCATGTAAGAATTAAATGAAGACACATCTCCTTTTTTCTCTTTTTTCTGGAACTGTTTTCCCCTACCCAAGTGTAGACTTAATGAATTTGAGGACCTAGTCAGTCTTCAGTTGCCATGTCCTTATAACCTACGACAGTGCCTGGCACCTAGTAGTGGCTTAATAAATGTTTAGTAAAAGATATAATATCTTCGATGTTTTTGACTAAGCTCATCTGCAGGATATTGACTCCATGTATTATAGTTTGCTATTAACACCTTTGATTATTAGTGAATGGTTTGACATTAGGCAAAAGTGAACAATTACTGAAAAACGAACATGAAAAGAAGCTAACTAAAGCTTGACATATACCTTACATCTATCTATTGTAGGTTAGCTGTGCTAACTTATCTAGTAACAGAAAGTAGCACAGGTCCATTTAGTAGTCAAATTACAAAATAATTAAAGTATTGGCAGTAATTACCAGTTATATGCCACACTTATATGACCATTAATAAAGGGACTTGGTGCATGATCACGTGAGGTGGTGATACATGAGTCAGGATAGCAGAGCCCTGGAGCAGGAATCAAAATGCTCAAGTTCAAATCCTGGTTCAACCACTTGTTAGCTGTCCAACCTTAAAAAAGTCACAGTAACCACAGTAAATCACAGTTTTTCCGTTTGCAAAATGGAGTAAGAATAGTGATTATTTCATAGGAATGGTGTAAGAACTAAAAGACCTAGTCCATGTAGAGATTAGCACATGACCTGGCATATCGTAAATAATAATAAACCAGGCTATTATTGACATAAGTAAGAGCTGTTTCAGCAAGGTACAGCATGCTTTACTACCATTTCCTTTATGCAAAGGTGAAATTTCTTCTCAGAAAAATATGACTATCCCAGGCCACAGGCAGAAACTTGGGAACCAGTATTAGAGTCCAAGTCCCTCCAACTTCAAGTACAATTTACATTCTGTGCTACTTCAACATGATGGAAGAAGAATGCTAGAATGTTGGACTACCAACCAGAGTATAGTCTGATTGGGCTATCAGTAAGAAAAAGCAGTCAAATGAATAAAATAAAAGGAGAACACAGAATAGAAAACTAGAATGCCTATTCCTATGGCAGCTGTACAAACGTTGTATCTGCTGTTGAACAGAGGGAGGAAAAACAACTTTATTTTATAAATATTTTTATACTTGTTATTTTAAAAATCAAAATTATTTTATCTATTTATGTGTATTTTGATACTGTTAAAAGACAGGGAACTTCCCTATTGCATAAAACCTCTCTGGGCAAGCATATAACATTGAACAAAATTTAAATATTTAGTGCACTTTATCACAATGATATTTTTCTCAATTGTGTAGTATCATGTATGTATAAACCCTCTTATTTTTTTTCCACAGAATGCTGAAGTTTCTGTTTTTGAAGTAAATATACGCTTTGTTGGGGGACTACTCTCAGCCTACTATCTGTCTGGAGAAGAGGTAAGATGAAAAGTGGCACGTGCATGTGAATTATAAAATGACATTTTTTTGGTAAAACAAGCATGTGGTATCCATTACATTTTTCTATTTTGACAAATTTCTAGCATATACTGAATTTTCATATACTATGTACTAATTAAATGAGCATGCTAACAAAGTTTGGCACAATGTGTCATCAGGAAATATTAAGTGTTGCCTTTTTAAAAGCCTGGCTCCATTATGTTAATTATGGTGTGATTACAACGACAAATTATATATGCCTATGGACAAATTAAAGAGGTTAGTGTAGAGGTAAGCTTGGTGATGAGTTTTTTGCTTTGGAAATTATTTTAGTATTAGTATAATGTTAGGAACTTTTTAAAGCACAGAAAGCCTGGCAAGTAAGATATAAAAATTACAGTATGTAAGAAATTGAGGGGGTGAGTGAGATAGTCAGCTTTCAGTGAGAAGTTCTGTAGTCCAGTGTCTGTGTAAAGTGCTTTGGAGCCCTGCCTGGAATGAGGCTTAATTAATTATCTGCTCAGAGCAAAGCAAGAATTTTGAATTTAGCTGCCTTTTATTGATAAATTAAAAAAGGATTTTTGTATCATGTTCATAAAGAGCATGGGTGCTATTTTCTTGAAAGGTTTTAGACAACTTTATGAATAACCTGAAGTATCCACTAAGAGTTGTTAGAATGGAACTCACCTTTAATGTTGACACAGTTAAAAGCCGATGTCAAGGAAAAGCAGTCACGTATTTCAATTGCCTGTCAGTCAGGTTTGCTTTACTCTCTGCATTCTGGCTGAGGGAGGAGCGGATCTTACCTAGTGTAGTATTTCATATATTTCTATGCTCCTTCCAACAGATTTAAGCCGAGCAATAAATGTTTAATGAGAAAAGCTGCTTTACTTTGTTCCTGTCTCCCAGGCACTTTCCCAACCATAACAAAACAAACTAAACATTCTCTTTGTCTGTAGATTTCATTCTACCATAGAGATTTTCGAAGTATATAGATGGTTTCCCTATTCCCCTATATCTGTCCTCTGCAAGTGTCAAATGCTGTTCTTCACTATGAATTCTGTCACCCTCTCAGCCAGGGAAAAGGACCTTCTGGTATGCTACACCTCTTCTTCCACTTTTCCAATTCCAACTATCTTCATTTGCTTGGTTTGATTTATAGTGTTCTAAGCACTAAGCCAAGGGAATCCATATTTTAAAAAACTCATACTTAAAATTAACTATTGTTATTCTAGTTAACAAGTTTCTGCTTTAAGAATATTTGTCTTTGAGTATCCAACACCTGGGAATTCTCGGTGTTTTCCACATGGCATACTTAGGATGACCTTGGTTTTAGCTCTCTTCATCACGTATGTGGAGGTGAGGCATTTTGGAGGAAATAAGGACTGCCTTCTTCTATATCTGGGCTCGAGGATAAAGAGCATAAAAGAGAAGCAAATACATATTTCTTCTAAATAGGTATCATGTTTAATTAGGATACTTTTTCACTCGTAACTTAAGTTTATATACATTTATTTGTTTCTGTATGCATGTGTGCCTATTACAGATATATATTTACATACTTAGCATAAATATAATACCCACAGACATTATAGTTGGCCTCCAAATAAAATCATTTGCCTAAGAACTTGTAAGATTTTTATTCTAAACTTACTTGAATTCAGTAAGCAAAGGACTGCAAAGAACATAGCCACTAAAAATAATTATTTTAGTTTATTTTGTCCTTATCCCTTTACAAAACATTGTTTCTCTTTTATTTAGATTTTCTATATTTTAATTTTATGATAAAAATTATTTAAGTGTTTCTTTTCTTACATACTTTCTTATGTTTATATAGAATGCATATTATAATTAAAGTTATTTCTCCTGGGATTTTGTGTCTTGACAAAGGTAGAAAAAATACTGCATGTTTATTAATTCTAGGATGTCCCAGAGTGTTTGAGAATTCATCTTCTCAGCAGTTTCTGCTTGACTATTTCCTAAATGTTGGAGAATTGGGTTGTTTCCAATATTTTGGTATTTTGAATAATGTAGCTGTAATCAGCCAATAAATATTTATTCTCTAAAGTGAGATTGCCAGCTGACAAGTGATTAATACTAGACTGTTTTAGCATCCTCTCCTGTTTCTTCCTCCCAATTATTTTACCCCAGGCCTGCGATTGAGCTATTTGTGTCTCCAAATCAAAATGAAAAAATTGAGGATTCATTTAATAGAAAGAACATCACACGGCAAAATTACGAATTAGTTGGTTTCAGATTATTGATAAAGTTCTATATTGTACACTTTTATGTAGACTAAGATATTTAATAAGATTGTCTAGGAAAATTCATATTCTTAAATGATCTCATAGGGGGCTACTAAATCACAATAATTTAATATTCTCATTTCATTGGTGAGGCTCAGGGGTATTTTGTGAACATCTTGCAATTCACCATCAGAAATATATAGGCCCACATTAAAATAAACTTAAGATTCCTAGATTCATATTGCAAAAACAGAAGAGGAAGTACCACTGATTTCTGTTGCATGCCTAAGGAAAATACAATCAGAAAACTAAACAATCATCAAGAATGCTAGTGGAACTCCAGACCTACCAAATGAAAAATTGAAAAATGAAATATCTGTTGATAAATACTTTGATTACAGCAATCTATTAAAAAACTTAAAATTCCCTAGCTCAGTTAAAATATTTTGTGGTACCATTAAAAACAGAAATAGCCAAGCCACAAGATTTTCAGTCTATATAAGAAATACAAACAACTACAAGAGTTACAAACAGGATAGAGTAAGATGAATCCTAAAGAGGAATGATCAGCATTAAAAATAACTAAAAGGGATAGCATTGCTGTATTATGAACTCAAGGGAAACTAAAGTCCTCATTAGAGACGGTAAATAACAGCATCTAGAATATCATTACCTAAAATAAGTTCTACAGATCACTAGTTTCTTTTGAATATGGAAGGATAAGTCTGTATCTGTATACATACTGAAAATACATTTGAAAAAAGCTACCTGTTACAATCTTAGAAATTCACAATGCTCAGAAAATGAGTTTAATTTTATTTATCCATGTGTTTGCTATACTACTTAACTGTAATCCTCCCTTTTTTTAAATGTAACATTCACTAGAACTAAGATACAAATATTGTTTCCCCCAACAAATTTTGGGAAACACTACTGCAGAATAAAAGTAGCCAAACAAATATGATATTGAAAATTAGCAAATGCAAAACAAGACATTGCAAGAGAGGATGACACGTGTAGAAAATAGCATGTATGAATATACCACACATTATTTGTTTTACAACAGAAACCAATGGCTATATTAAGCAGAGAGTAAATTTAATAGAATACAGTAATACCTTAAACTCATAGAGGAGGCTAAAGAACAAGTTGGAACTAATAGTCTCAAGTTGTCACAGAGGATAATACTATACACTCGTAGATAACTTACACACTTACACTTACATTACTTACTACACACTCAAGCACTCTGGGACATCCTAGAATTAATAACAGGCACTATTTTTTTCTACCCTTACCAAGACACAAAGTCTCAGGAGAAAGAGGTCAATTGGCAGTTTTGGCAACACGCGGCCCCTTAGGGGTCTTAGGGAATGAAAGAGAGGATATGATAGAAGTCTTCCACAGAGTTTGAATTCAGTACCCTGAATTCACCTATCTGTGCTCAGATGAAGACTGAGTATAAATAATTCCTGAATAGGAATTTGAGGCTGTATTGGAAGGGTGGGGAGAGTAGATGATTGGGAGCCAGAAAAAAAGAGACATAATTGCACTGTGGTGAATAAGGGCATCAGAGGAAATAGATGAGCTGGATAGAAACTGATCATTTAATGATGTACTTGAAAAAACTTTGCTTCATTTGAAATACTGCTTTATTCTGTAAATTAAAAGAGCACTTAGAGCTACTGAGGTATTTAATCCTCCGAGGAAACATTTGACTAGTATGTTTTAAGTATGTATACTAGAAGAACAAAAAGCCAACTCCTGAGAGCTAAAAAGATTGAAAAACTAGTCTTCAATGAAAAAATGACATCTTATCCAAGGAAATAATATATATAATGGCTTCTTACATTAGGTTCATTTACTCTACCAAGACATTCCTCAGTCTGAAAGCAACAAAAGAGTTTTTCCCCCAGTTCACCAAAATAAATCCCCTGCCCCAGACACCAGTACAAGATTGCTGAAGGACTTACTTGAAGAAGAGGAGTAATTAGTACTACTGAATGTAGGAATATCAAGGGAGAAAACATATAGGAAGGGTATGGGGTTGGGTAGTGGTGGGGGAGAGAAGTGAGATTGAGAACGTGAACTAAATGATGGAAAGATCTATTTTTTTTTCTCACAATAAGATTCAGACTTTTGAGGTGTTTAGAAGGCTAGCCATTAATTTTGTAGTTTATTTAGTGATGAATTATCATCAAATTGTTTAGAAATCCCCTAGAAAATTAGGTTGCATTGTTGGGGTTGCCTTTCAAACTCAACATCTGCTGCAGTCTGCTGAAGAGATAAAGTCACTCCCAGACCATCCAATCTCCTGCCTCATTCTACAAAGAAATGAAAGCGACTTACAGAAAATGTGCATAATACACACAGAACTGTGGAAAACAGATAAAGTCAGAGAATATTAAAGTCACAGATAAGACAAACAGCTGGTACAGCAGCTAGGCCAAGGGCAGAGATTTGTTTTCAGGTTTCCTAGTGACCAGAACAAAAAAGGGGAGAGATTTACTAATAATTTGTTTTTGGCATTTTTATGAACACTAAAAATTTGGTGACATAAAATAACCCATATACAATATTGCCTGTATACATACTAAATTTTCCATAAAACATAAAACTATCTGGTATAAATAAAAAAGCAGCAATACAGTTGGACCCACCAGAAATACATTAGCACCCCTTCCCCCCAATCCTGCCCCCTCAACTGGGAGACTCCCTCAGGCGTGTGTTTGGGCAAAGCAGCGCACTGAAACG